CATTTCTAGTTTTCACTGATTTAATAATTTATGAATAAATAAAAGTTCTTTCGTAACATTGCAAATAACCTTGCTCGTGACGAATACCGTCCTCTCGCAGTTTATAAATGGATAAAACTAATTTCGGCAGATTTGCCTGAGCTAGACGAAACCGCAAAAGTAAAATTGGACCGTTGCTAACTTTGTTTTATAGGTCGTAATTGAATTCCTCAAAAAAGCAATTACCCTTTGACTAAAAGAAAATTAGTCATTTTGCCCCGTGAATTCCATTTCTATCCGAGAAACTTGTTTTCATGCAGACTTGTCCCAAATAAAACTTGTTTATTCGACATCCAATCTTATCAGTCAATAACGTTTTACTCCTATTAATATTTAACTAGTCTCTTTTCACCGCTTCACAGTCGATTTAGTCTAACTTACGGAATCCCTTCAACGTGGATCAATTGCACAATTTCGAATACATTTCCCGTTAGATATTCAGTGCTGATATTGCAAAGTTAAAGGCGCACACATGTTGAATTCTAATGTCTACGTTCTTAATGATGGAAAAAACTATTACTGACAAGGCCGGATTCTCTATCCTGCAGCAACAGGACGACTTGAGTCGATATGTTTTGAGACAGTGTTTCTTTATCTGTAGTTCAATTCGCTTAAAAACAATGTCTTTCTAAGAGACTACCTTTTATAATAATAATGTATTTTTAATTAAAACTGTGTTTGTTCGCAACAAAATAAAACTTCAATAACATTCACAATATTGCTAGTTTTTAAGTTAACTAGTTTAAAAGTTCAGAAGATGAATCAAACTTCTTGCATCTACAAAATTATGTATTTTTTAAAACAGACATCCATGTAATTTTCATAATTTATTAGTTTCTGCTCGCCTTCTTTATGTAGTTTTATAAAGTGTTTCATAACAAAACCAATTATTATTATTGAATTTTTAACACACGTTTCCTACGTTTCATTACTATATTTCGAATATTGAAAATACTCAATAATATCCCAATTCTAAATTATGAAAACGGATCTACACTAACACTTGGATTGAACTTAGAGTAAATTTGTGAATCAGTTCTACCAAAAATAGGTGTTGAGTAAAGCTGGACAGAACTGCACATTTGCAACTTATATTATATTTGACCCTGAATTCTGTATATTCTTGTTACCGATTAATTGCTAATATCATTGCAATAGAGACATTCTCCATGACCAATAACCGAAGGCGAATACAAATCAATATTAGCTTTGGTCAATATTAACTTTTTAGAGTGTTTCTTCTTTCCCTGTATTCTACCTGTTGGGGTATCAATACCAATTTTCGTTTTAGCGTGGCATCTGCAAAGTTCATAATCGATTTTCTGTAATTCAATTGTTTCACATAAAATTTAGGGGTGTCAAATAAGACACAGGCAATAATACTTTTGAACAGAAAGCATTATTTCTAGAATACCGAATTTGGTTGGTAACTTATATAAAAAGTAATTTTTGGTTGAATAGAGCTTTCGAAACAAACAAAAACATAACGTTCTGCTAACGATTCCAAAACATTATATTAAATATGAATAAAAATATAGCAAACAGAAAGATACTGTATGGGAACGCTTATGTAAGAAACAAAAGCAATATGTAAGAAAACAATCGCATATGTAATATGGAAATAAAAGCCGCTCTACTGAATATTACACTGATGTAAACTCTGATGAGTTGATTTATTTAATATTCTATTTGACAAAAAATGATTAATTTTCATAAGGTCAACTTGATAATACCGAAGTTAATTTAGAGAACTTGTTAATGTTCATTTATTGATCTGCATATAAATTAAAAATCAAATCCGCTTCGTGATAATTGTAGGATCTGTTGTTCGAATTTTAAACAAGGTTTTAAATATCATTAGATTGCTCAAAAGATAATTGGTATCACAAGCTAATTAATTGTCTCTGTTAAGTACTCTTACTACATCAAAAATATTACGGTTTTTAAAATAATTCTAGTTTTATTTTTTATATAGATATTTTTCTTTTCCTAAGTAAAGAATAAGTCTTATCTAAGATATTTTATATGTTTAAACTCTTTCTGTTTAACTTAGTAGTATTTAGAGTTCCTATTCAATCATTTGGCTGATTGCGTTCATTCAAGTTGTAAGTCTTTGAAAAATTCAATTGTAAAGGTTGTTTAATTAAATATTATCTGTTTTTGTCAAATTAAAGATAAAATAACTAGAAGTGGAAAACCACAGCGTTACGTGTAAGTAACTATTTTTAATGATTGAATAACATTTCTGAAATGTCGTTTTCTTTTATTAGAATTTTTTAAGAAATAATATATTTACTCGTGAGCTTTCGACTGATATTTTACGGATTTAATTTTCAGACTTTACAGAGAGAGAGAGAGAGAGAGAGAAAATAAAAAGTTAATATATTACCTACGTTATTTAATTATTTGTATTTACCATAATATGTTACTGCTTAACGATTAATTAAGCTGCTTTTTATATATATCATTTAATTATTTAGTGCATGTAGAAAGTCGTTCATGTAAAACAAATACTTTTTTGTACTTATTCATTCTTGCTAACTTGAAAACTCCTGCAGACTAATTTTGCTTTTGGACATTTTAATCACTGTTTTGCTGCCTACAAAGTTTCCTAAATCGTTCCATTCAACTTATTAAAAGTGGAAAACCGGCGAGCCATTAAAGTCAAAGTCAACGTACCTAAACAGTTCATTCAACAGGAATTTAGAGCTCGTTTCGTTCAGGGCAAATATTTTACACTAGAATTGTTTTTACATTCTATACCAGCATTTTATAGCGTCGTAAAAGTATTCGTTTCTGTATGAAGCAATGCTATTGAGACCTCCGGATTGTTTCTCATTCCAGCTAATGTTTGTCGAAGAGCGACTTGATTTTAGTAACTTTTAAATGACGTTCTATCTATTATTGATTTGTGGTAATTTGAAGAATATAAAATGGCATCAAACATTTCATGCACATATTTTCCACAAGTCTCGTCTGGACTTTGCAAATTTGTTATCTATAACAATTAAAACAAGAATATTTATGTTTTAAAACATTAATTATTATCTATACAAGCAAAATAGTTGATAATTATTTTAACAACAATTAAGAAAAAGAACTGACGTAGGAGAGTGCGTCACAACCCCACCGTTCGATTACCACATTTGTTTAGCTATCTAATAAATTTTATGTCTGACGCCTTTATTATTTTACTATTGATAGAATAGAGAAATTTAATACAAAATATTTTTAATTTCCTTGATGTACGGCATGGCGTCATTGCGCTCCTTATAGTGTTTTATGTATAGTGTATTTATACATGGAAACTTAGAACACTAGATACATTTCTGTATCTATTTTATACTTCCATTAACCGGCTTCTAAAAAGTTCTTTAGTTGAAAATTGTAGCTTGATTATGTATAAGATGGATATTTAGGAAACTTAATAATCGCTATATGGAACAACAAATACTATTTTTGTATTCAAAATACATATAGTCTGCATCTAAATTTTTCATTAGATATACACAGTGTCCTCAAATGCGTTCGGGTTCGGATAAGCAGAATAAAAGTATTCTGGAATCATAGTTTACTAGGGACTCCATATACACAGGTGTACAATTGTAAGTCCACAACGAAATCGTGAAAAGAGCAGCAACTTTTTAAATAATCCGTGTAATGGAATACGTTTTTTAATCAATTTACTACTTAATCAAGGCTGACAATTTAATTGTTTTAACGTAGGTACTCTAAAGCCAATAAACTAACTCTTCAATTACTACTCATTAATTTTAAAGAATTACGGGAAAATAAAAACTGAATTCAGGTCTACATGGTCAATTTTAACATGCTTATGCCTTCAATTGTGAGTAGTTGGTTTAATAAAAAAACAGATTAGTTGTAATTAACCAACATTACCTTGGGTACAATACTTCCTCAAAGTAGAGTTGTACACATATTTCAAAGATCAAATTCAAGATTCAAAGATCTGTCTATTAACGTTTTTTATTTCTTTGGTTTTCTATGCTATTGTCAAGTGACAATTATTGGACGAGGCATTCAAATAGCGAAAGCAAAACTTTACGACAAATGCCTTTTTGAAACTCTAAATAATGAAAAAACCAGCCAATACTCCCAAATCTTAATGGAAAATTTGTACCGCTTTAGAATATAAAAGCTTTTATTATTCAGTTACGTTGGCCTTTTCAATCAATAATTTGAGAAATTGCACATATATAAAATAATGAGATTATTTTGTATAGGAATTCAGTACAATATAATTACATATCTATCAACTGAGTGATAACCACAGTCAAAAAGACTGTTAAAATACATTAGAAATTTATTTTCAGGATAATTAAAACCGTGATTATTAAGACCAACTTATTAGTAATGACGATAAAAGTATTGTTAGGCTACATTAAATATGTGGCAGATGGGGGGCTCCGTCTCATTTATTCAGAAAATCTATTTTATAAACGTTCTTCATAGAGAAATCTAGTAATACATTTAAATATAATATAATAAAATGCAATCAGATAAACTGTCAAGCGGGTTTTTAAATAAGAAAATTTTGCGGCGTGATGTTTTCATGAAATGGTTCTGTCTTACAGTTAGTTTGTTAAAATTTATATTTACCTAGATATCGAACTTTGGCGCACTAATAAACAATCTTGAACATATTTATAATATACCATGCAACGCCTTTAAAAAAATGCCTGCTCGCGCGGTCCTGTACAATCACATAAAAAATGTGTCAGCTAAATCTGCAAATTAAAAGAGTCGCAAAGAAAAATGGCAGCTTTAGATTCATTCGAATAAAAAATTACTTGAAACGTGAATTCACTACCGAAGCAAATATTTGATGTTTACAATTAAGTAAGTAGTAAGTTTACGGATCTCGTAGATTATACGGATCGCGTAGTAGCCGTTTTGGCAGTAAGATATTAGAGGAAGTATTAATAATACTTGATATAATAATTCTACGGAAGGATTACGGTGAACCCTGACATTCGTAACCATAGAATTTTGGGATTTTCACTCTTTTGTCAGTGTCAATAGTTGTTGATTAGTTTCAGCATCGACAATAAGCCCTAAAGGGAATCGCAATTTTTTAACAGGACTTGTATGCGGCACCACGTAAGTAAATGCATCATCTTTGCATGATTAGTCTATATTAGTTTTAACATAAAGATAGGAACAAATATGTGGTGCTACTCAGAAAATAATAATCCATTTATATTTCTGTTAACTGTTTTTTACTTTGCTATTTGTTCCACGCCGATTTTCTCACCGGACATTCACGTCTCTACGTTTTTTTTATTGATATTTTCAGTAGGTACGTTTGCAGTAAAGAAATTTGTTCATATATAAACAAACTGAACAGTTTTCATCATTTTCGAATTTCGGAACAACGTTTTCAATCATAATCAATCAAAATAATTTAATTTTCTGGGATTTAACAAACAAGAAATTATGTAAGTAATTTATGAATCAGTTTTTTTATAGAAAATTTATTTACTGAAAAATCTAGCTCCATTAATCGAATCGTGTACTTTAAATTAGTTAAAACATTGTTTATTTTATAAGAACGCCACTGGGTATATTTATTATCGATTCCATAAGAAACTTAATTACTTCATATATAATTCAGGAAGGAATAAGAAGGAAGCTTTTTGTATCTAAAGTTTTTTTAACGATTTCTTATTTATTTAAGATTTACTGAGTTTAGCCACTTATAATATATTTTTTTTTAATTTAATTTCCTGACTGGGCTCCAGTCAATAATTGGTAAACATTACATTCTTTTAGGTTTTTTCCGTCTTGAAACCTTAAATTCCTTTTATACTATAATAAGGTTCTGGCTAACTGACTGACTAAAGGTTTTGCAATTAAGTTTTTACTAAATTTAATTGTTAATTAACAACAAACTTATGATATATATTGATATAATTTGAACCAATGGATGGATTTTCTTATACCTAGTTTACAAACGTGGAATTTAATATATATATTCATATAGCTTTCGTTTGTGCATTTTTATGACGGAATCGTTGTTTCCGAATTTTACTTGTTATTTGGGAATTGCGGTTTAAAATTCATATTGGTGGAACTAGATACTGACTCAAAGCCTTTCAATCAAATTCAAGCTTTTCATTGAACAATAAATAGTTTATTACAATAAAATATGGAAGCACACTGTAATAAAAAGCCCAATTACAGAAAGACAAAATTTTCGAAACAATGCCATAATTTTTTTTAAATTTTTCGGTAGATCGGTACGTATTTCATAAACAGTGAATTACTAAATAAGGATTTCAGTGCGAAAAACTATTTGCTTTGAGTATTTCGAAACAACACTTGAATTAACATATTTACATTCCACAGTTTATATTTAAATCATAATATAAAAATTTTGCGAAATCCTATTTTAGATAAAGCTTTAGAAACTGTAAAAAATCACTATCGAAATAATTTAGAAATATTGTAATTTGCTAATTGGGCTTTTATAGCTTAATCTCAAGTGTGGCGTAGCATGCTTATAAGATTCTGATAAAATAATCGCAGCTCATATAAAAAATCGATAAAATTATCTCTTTCTAACATATTTAACATTTGGGAAGCACTATCCAAAGTGTTGTTTTGGGAAGCACTATCCAAAAAAATGTAAGTAGGAACTTGCCTCGATCCGATTTAATTAAGCTGGAGCTAAAATTTTCAATTTGGTCTTACAAAGTGGAAAATCTACAATAAGAAAAAAATAAGATTATAAGAAAATCGGCTGGATTGTTAATAGCTGCGAAATTAGAATTAAAATAGTATTCTGAAATATTGTCCCGCATCTAACAACTACCTATAAATAATCCCCTGATTGATTCCACGAAATTTTCAGTCCATTTTCTCACGCGTTTAATATGGAATAAGTTAATTGAAGATAAAATACAGATGTGCCTCAAAATTATTTTATTTTATATGACAGTCAATCTCATTGAGAATAATCGTGCATTTTAAGATTAAATCCCAGCACTAGACTCTGGAAAGGAACTTTCAGAAATCAGACACTGTTATTAAACACCCTTAGTGTAAGTTAGAAATTTCAATCTCCGTAAAAAAAAATTCCAATTCTCATAGAATATAATTTGTCCCATAATTCCAGGTCTAATTTAAACGCATTATTTTGGTTGGCTCAAGTATTATGTAAAAATTCTGTAGTTGTATAATAAGCAAGATGTATTTGCAGTCAAAATTCTGTTTGTTTTAACTTTACTATCAAACACTGTTGATATTTGAGTTCCAGCCAAATAACGAAAGACGCTTAATTAGTACTTTAAATCGATGTTAACAAGTCGGAGTAGCATGTACCAGAATGTTGTTTATGTTTCGAGTTAATTTATACTATAATCTCATATTAAACAGATGCATTTGTTTACGTTTTTCGATGCGAGCAACATTGGTTCAGAGTCGATACAAAAGTAGGTACTTACGAGCGCTGTTTTGCCGGCTCGGTATTCAATTTGATATATATGAGTAGCATCAACAAGAAAATAGCAGGAAAACGGTTGCCATGAATATGTTTAGTGTTATATTTCCTTAGTTTGTTGTAAGCGACAAGCAAATGTCGTTAAAATAACAGCGTCGAAATTTTATATTAAAAAAATTATAAGAAAGAAGTGGTAATTACTAGAAAACATAATGAAACATTCATCACCATTCATTCAACACCGCAAAGGGGAGTACGTGATAGTGACATGAAAAACATGGACATAAAAGTCAGAAAATTAATGAATCTTTGTCAAACTTTCATATGCTTAGAATATTTACTACGCCTATGGCTAGCACCCAGGCGAGTTCGTTTTCCGATTAATTCTACTTTTTGATCGGTACGTACTTTTAGTATTTTCATCACTACCACCTGCTTTTTCACTGAAAAATCGCAAATCGGTAGAATTTAATGTTGGTCCCAAACTAATCGGGATCAATGATTTACTTGCTTGGTCTATTTATTAATGTCTTTGACTATAATACTGCTTATTACTGCCCAACCTGGAAACGTGAAGCTAGTCGGTAAATTAAACAAAATCAAATTGATCACTTCGGCTTCCGTATGCCGAGTTTCTTACTTTTGAGTTACTTTCGGTTAGTTTTACATTTACGTATTAGTTAGTGCGATAATTTTGATCTGTTAGGATGAAAGTGGAATATAAATAAGTTATCAGTTAATGAGACTATGAAGGCTTTCACGGCCGGTTAAATCACATTTAGGAATGTTTTCCGGGCTTTGAAGCCGTGGTCTATGGGAATTTCTTCCTGACGTTTCGTCCACAACTGTGGTGGACATTATCAAAGGCGATCAGGCAGTGGGCGAAGTGATCTCCCGTGCTTTCCGACTAAGACTGATTCAACTGCTAGATTCCCCGTCGTATTTATGCAGCCCAGCCGTGTGTGCTCATGCGTGGGGGATGGGTGGGGGTTCCAACGCTTCGGCCCAAATGCTGTTTGGCGCAAAACGCGCTTCCAATCTGGATTGAGTGCCGTAATTTCTTCTTTTCTGTTAAAATTGTTTTGTTGTTTAAATATTTCGATGGCCTCTCTGGTGAGTCTCGGGTAGTATCTTTCAGATTGGTGCAGAATGTCCACTTCGTCGAAGCGTATTTGGTGGCCGTCTAG